TCGTTGCTGTATCCTTGAGAGCCAATAAACTTCCTCTAGTCCACCGGCTGGTGCAGTCTGTTTGTGCCATTTCGGGGTGCAGGAGACGGGGGCCCCCCAATGCGCCGTCACAGGGTCTCTCATCCCCAGCCATTTCTGCCCAAAATTCAGGGTCTCTTTTTCTTTCATTCACCCCCTTAAGCCTTTGTTATCTCCTTGGGCCTCACCAGACACACTCTCCTGGTCCTCTGGGTGCAGAAATCAAAGCAACAGGGCAGGGGTGGGAGGAGGGGGAGGCCCTGGGAATTTTCCCAAGCTCTGCAAATTACCAAACCACCTGGTAGTGAATAACTCAACTCTGAAATCCAGCCGCTCAGTATGGGTCTGGCTTCACCTGTTCTGGGAGGGGGAATCGAGAGGTGGAAGGGCAGGGAGGTGAGGTGAATAATTTGATCAGACGATGTTTCCCCTTTTCCAGTGTATCTGATCAGATGTTTTCCGCTGGGACATTTTTTCCCAAAGTCCATACCGTTGCTGAACCCCAAACCTTTGGGAAAAGCATCCGTGGCGGCAAAGATTCATCTTGAATTCCCTCCCTCCCCCGCCCAAATCAAACCTTGTGATCGTATCGACACCTCGCGATTTTCCCTGGGAAATGAAACTCATTGATTCTTATTAAAAAACAAGAAAAATGCAGCCCATTAAAAAAAAAAAAAAAACGTTTTAAGAGGCCGGAATTGGAACCTACCCCGCAGTTTCTCTTGGCATGGCGTCTCCTGGGTAATTTCAATTTTTTTTTTTTTAATTTTCAGGGCAGAAAGGAACCTCAACGGGGTGTTTGCTCCACCCCTTGGGCTGAGGTCAGACCAACAACACCTAGATTACCCCAACAGGTGTTTGCCAGACTCCGGGGTGGAACTTTTCTTGGGTCGAGGGCCGCTGACCCACAGAAAAATCACAAGTGAGAAGCAAAGAAAGAAAAGAGACAGAAAAGAAAAGCAAACCCTCCCTGACATGGCCCCCAACGGAGAAGACAGACACTCCCCACATCCTCTTCGCACACCAGAGCCTAGGGGGGCCCAGCCTTGTAGATTTTGTGTGCCCCAGAGGGGCGGGGAGGGGGATGGTGCACCAGTCTAGGCAATACCGGGGGCTGGATCCAGGCAAGTCGGGGGCTGCATCCGGCCTCCAGGCCTCGGTTCCCCATCCCTGGACTAACTTGTTCTTGAAAACCTCCAATGGCACAAACTCACTGGTAAACCTATTCCGGGACTTAACCTCCCCCTAGCAACTCCTTCCTGTGATCTCCCTGAGAGCGTCCCCATGCCTGAACCGCGCCATTTCTAAAGAGCCAGCTCGACATTGCAGTGTTGGCTGTGAAATGACAATCGCTTGCAGCGCTAGGGGTAGCCAACAGCTTTTTCCATGATGGGGGTAGCCAGGCTGGGCATCAGAGAGACCCCCAAGGCGACGGCAGAGAGAGGCTAGATGGCCGGGGCTAGCCACACAGGTGG